GTCATTCATCTTTATGCCCTTCAATGTAGCTCAGTTTTTGCTCAGTTTTGCTTTGGTTCTAAAAGCATATTACTTTTACTTAACAAATCTAAGACAAAAATAGAAAAAAAAAAGGTTTTAGATAAAACAAGTAGAAAGGGCAATCACAGTTTAAATTTAATAGCCAGATACATCTTAGCCTTCCTCACCAATAATTTCAAGACTCCTGTTTCAGAATTAAAACCACTTTCACCTTCAGAGGTTAATTAATGATTACCACTATTTATTTCAGGGCAGCTGATTCATCATTTGCCCAACCTGTTTTCTTTACATAGTGTTACTGATGTTCAAACAAAATGTTATATAGAAGAGCAGTTCTGTCTACACACTGCTTAGTCACTCCAAGGACCTAACAACAGATTGTAGGACAGCGGATGGCATGACAATATAGATGACAGAAGTAAGTGCATTACTGATGTCCTTCACTGCAACACCACTAGAGACAATGACCACCACCAGTACAAGACTGTGATGCAGAAATCTGGAAACCACTTTGCCCTCTGTCTTGTCTTACATAACTAAGCATGAGGTCAGGTCACCCTCAGACCCTAGGGGAAGGCCAGAAGGATACAGCTCCTCCTCTGCCCTCAGGTCCCCAACACAATTTAAAGGAGACTTGGGCGCAAGAGGGCATGGTGTGCTGCAGGAAGAGGCTTGAACCTGCCTCCTCCCTGCAGAGGAGCTACTTCTTTCTATTCAGCACCAACCTAGCACCAACCGCTGCCAGTTTAGCTTGCCCACTTCCCAGACACCTTTACAGGCATCCTGTCAATGAAATCCTTGTGGTCCAAAACTCACTGGCAAGCTGCATCTTCCTGCTGTGCCCGACAGCCCTCACGAGCAAGCACTCCAAATACTAGCTTGCATCTCATGCATTGATTTCCTTTGCCAGGAACATGCTGGGCACAATCCCAGCAAGTTAAGACAAAACCTAGGTGTATCCTTCCAAGATCAGTCCCTGTTTGGGCAAATTTCCCCCAGCTGCAAGAATAAAGACTAATGCACCATTTTCCAATGACTTCTTCCCTCTAAGCTATCTCTAACAATACCTGCCTTGTTCTCTGTTGGCAAATATGGCTGGGTAAGATACCTGGTCTTACAGATGTTTTGGTCTCCAATCACTAGCAACCACAGGCCATTAAAAACTTTTCACACTGCCAAACAAAATTGCACTCTTGACAGAAGTATATAAGAATAATTAAACCTGTTACGGAAGGGAAATTTTAGGCCATGGGTTTAAGTGGTCCTTTCTGTACTAATACGTACTTAACAAGCCGAAACAAATAGGTATTTAAGCAAATTATTCAGTGTTCCAAAAAATGTCAAAAGCTTCACTACACAGTAACATGTTCCCTCCTATAACATGTAAACATAACAATTTGTATGGATTAACTATAACATTGCTTTTTATATTCAAATACTACATTAAAAGATGCATGTATGTTTCAGGAAGACAAGCTTACCATAGGATAATATAATTTAAAACTGGAAAATGAACTATTTGGCAGTTATCTAAAAAGGAATCCAGATTCCTTATGCCTCAGTTTTCAAGTCTACTTTGCCCCACAATGACAGGCCAAACTTTCATTCTGTACCAAGCTTCCAGACTGGAATGAAGAAAGGTAGTTAGAAAGGACAGGCCACTGCTAGGAAATCCCACATTTTTTGAAAATTGAAAAGCACATTTTCACACAGAAAGTCAAGCATGATGATTTGGGCAGTTGGTGTTTATTGTAAAACTACGTACTTCAATATTGGGAACTCTTTCCTGTAGCTGCAGGAGGCTGCAATCTCCCTTATCGATGCAGAGTCTGTTTAAGTTGTGTCTCATTTTCTGTTTCCATACAGACCTAAAGCCCATGGCAGGAGATAGGAAATTATTACGCTTGGCTTAGGATTAACAAAGGTGTGTCATTACGTTTTGATGACTGTCTCAAAGAAAAGTAGTTTTCAAGTCTGCACTTGGGGGACAAGAGGGGGACTAAGTTGCAGATCCTGGGGAGAAACTTTGATCATGTGTCAGGTTGATCAAAGGGTCACCTGATACTTTTAAAGAAAGCCTCTTTGGGCATTTTGGAGACAAAGGTATAAGAAACCAGGAAGATACTCTAAAAGCAGATAGCGTTTTCAAATGCAGGACAGTGGAAATTTGCTTTACAAGAGATGGAAAATAAGCCATGATTTGAAGAAAAGTTTTGAGCAAAAGCACAGTACTGAATTTCCCAGAATTCAGATTTCATCACCGAGCACATTCAGGTAGTAGAATGGCAGAAAAAGGTACGGTGATTACTATGTTTTTTTTTCTTCATTTCTTAAGAGAGTCAAAATGAAGTTCATAGTTTTTTAAAGACACCACAAGAAATAAAGAATCCAGCTTGTGTAAAATTCCTATCTCTATTCCAAAGCCAGTAACACAGACCAGTTCTGGCAACGAACCCTGGAGACACTACAAAAGGAGGCAAGCACAGCTTCCCTCGCCCCCTGCCTGGCGGTCGTCAGCTTTTGGATTCCATAATCAAGCCAAGAAACCCCGCTGGAATTTCATCCTCCAGGAGCCAGCGGCAGCTCGCTGCATATTTGGGCAGATAAGCAGTGAGCAGCCAGAAGCTGAGAGCCACATTCTTCAGGAAAACCGAGTCCTGTGGAATGCTGTTTTCTCTGTGCTTCAGAGGCTCGGCACAGGCTGTGCTCTATCCATCCTTCTCACACAGCATCTGCATGTGGCACCAGCTCCTGTGACAGCAGCACTGGAGCCAGGGTAAATATAACTACCTGCTGAGCCAACTGCCCCAGTGCCTGTATAACCTACCTGAGTGCCAAGCAGGGAGTGTGACAGGATTTTCTTCCCAGTTTCTCCCCTATTGATGGATGTGAGGCAGGACACTTGCTGTGCATGATGATTTGCATTACCTTTAAATAGGTACCAACACAGAGGTGAGGCAGAAACTACTCAGATATTATCTATATTATTCTTTCTGAAAGTTTTCTATTAAAAGGACGCACGTGAAAGTGTTCTATTAAAAGGATCCTGATGTGTGCCTCTGGAATACAGAAAGGTAACTGCTACAGCCTCACTTCAGAAAATGGGTCTTCTAAATGAGATTGAAATTCAGCACATTAGGCAGGATATTTGCCAAGTTTGCTTAGCTGTCAAGAGCAGCAAGCAGGAATTCAAGAGGCTTTACCACTATTTCTTTCTTTATACAATCCCAAAGAAGGAGGAGATAATAAAGGACCCTTGTGCAGCCCTGACATTGCTATTTCAGAATAGTCATGTTAATGCAGTGAAAGCTTCGCTAGGAAACAGTTATTCTCTGTCAGTGTTATTAACTTACAACATACAAACCTGACAGAGTAAGACACAGTCAAATCTAGACCTACAGAAAGCAGGTAAAATGTGAATCAGAATATTTTATTTCCTCTACCAGACATATATGCAGTTAGCAAACAGTAGGGAAAAAAAAAATACACACACACACACACTCAAAACCCCCCACAGAAATGGTCTCTCACCCTTTTTTAAAGACTAGCTCTGAAATAAAATGAAGAATATAAAGAATATATTCTATTCACTTAAAAAAGGCTTTTACTTTCAAGATGCTGTTTATCTTCTTTTCTAGATTACAAATGAAACTGAAAACAGATCTCAGGTTTGGTACTTAGAGCTACAAAGGACAGCAAGCCAAATCACAAAGAATTATTCTACAGAAAGTACTAGCAGTTATTGTAATGCCATCCCTTGCTAAGTTTTACTGAGATGTAAATCGTATTACAGTTCTTGCCTAGAAATACTAATTTAAATTCAGTAAATTTGAAAAACATATAATTTCTGCCAATCTAAAAGTTCGAGGCCAAAACTTGCTATACTTCTGGATATGAGGCTATGTTCATTACAAGATGTTACATTCCTTTGAAGGCAACAACTAAATAAAAAATATTTTAAATGGAATGAAAAATACAGCCTACCTTTGAAAGGAAGAAACTATTCTGTTCACTGGATAACTAACACCTGCAGGGGAACAGTGTAAAGCCGCTTATGAAAGTGCTGTGAAGTCAGGTTTCATTCCCTGCAGACATCCTGCTTCTACTTCCCTGGCTACGGCATTTGCCAGGCCAGGAGATGCAGTACAGTTGTAGCGAAGAAAGAGCTGAAGCTTGGATATGCTCATACCCATTTTAGGGAATCAGAACCTCATTTCTGATTTAGAGAGGTGGACATTTCTGAAATGTGAAGGTGAAAGGTGAAAAGAAAGTGCAGAAGAAGTCCAGAGAACTCTGACCAAAGGGTAAGATCATTACTGAAGTGGTGCTCTGGCTGAGAAGTCAGCCCCAGCTAGAACAGCAAATATCTTGGCCATAACCTATACAAGCTGCATCTTCAGATGCTCACATAAACTCTAGAAAAATAAATGCATAATGCAGATCAAAATCACATAGCTCAGAGAGAACTCAAGACTTTTTTAAGGAGCATTTGAGCCCATGTTACAGACGGATATGACAGAATAAGTGACTTACCAAAAGTCACAGCAGCACCCTGGGAAAAACTCACTTTCAAATCCTGCTTCATCTCAGTTTTCACATATTGATATTCCAAAATATAAACACACACTACACAAAAATACACAGCACACTCATTTGTTATCTTTTACAGTAAAACATGCCCTTGAAAAGCTAAAATAAATCCTATTTCCAATGTATTTTTCCAAAACAATTTAGTTCTGCATGACAAAAAATACATTTACATAAAAATATATAGTAAGTAACTTTTTGAGTTTTATCTGAAGAACGTCAATTCTCTAGAGAAAATGGCTGATAAAAAAGAAATCCCTGTTTTCAAGATTACAATACAGCAGTAAGGATGTGAGTATACAGGGAGAGAAGAGGTGGCACAATGTATTGAAAAAAACAAACAAACAAAAAAACAAAACCACAGCTTATATAAGTGCTAGGTTTCTACTCACTGTATTAGGTACATATGGCAATCCATAAAACTTTTCCTGGGTTTCCTTTAAAATTTCCGTGGTTGATCTTTTCAGAGGATGCTTCCCATGGTAGATTTGATCCAAGACAGCATAAAAGACCTAAAGAGATAAAATACTTATTTTCCTATAGCACATGTCCTTTGATAACCAAGAAAGACAGATAAGGAAGAAAGGGAAAGGGAAGATAGGGAAAGGGAAAAGTTTAAATATTTAAGGCTTTGTAAATCTTTTATTTTTAGTATAACATGGAAGGAGAGAAGCAGGTTCCTGGAGTAAACCAAGTCCTATCAACATGACCTAGCATAAACACGTTTAGATCCCTGAGAATGCCAGTAATGCTAAATCTCCTGCATTTTCAAGTAAAGTTGAAAAATCTAAGCCTCCTAGTACTCCCCTTTAAAAAGTTTTTAAAATAAATTAGTACAAAAACTCATGGAATTAGTAAAAATACTGAAAGTCATTTAGGTGAAGACGAAATAAGCCACTCCAAAAGGCCTTCCACATGGCGCTGAGAACACGACACATCTGCAGAGGTGAGAGACTGCCCTGGCAGCGGACATGAGAAGATGCACGTGGAGCTACTGATGCCTCCCTTGCCTTAGCTCCCACAACAGGGGAGTAAGTTACTGCAGTGTAAACTTAGTGTGCTCTTAAACTGCACCAGCACCATGGCTTGCTGTAGAGGTAAGAGCTGTTTTGCAGGCACTTTTTGTGCTGAAGCATGTAACCTATGACATGAACTCTCAGAGCAGAATACAGAAGTAGACTAAATGCCTAATGAGTTTAGAGACTGTGAAAGCAGCACTAATGAGCAGACTTTTCAGGCAGTGACAGCAAAGGAGACTATATGACACTTGAACAGCAGATATAAAATAAGAATGCATGGGAGACAGAGCCAAACTTAACAAAATTCCTGTAGCCTTTATGATAGCAAGGGGGACTGAGAATGTGACCAACAGAAGCACCACAAGTAGGTCTGAAAACTACCTGAAGCAATAGCCCTGGTTTGCTCACTTTCTTCTCTGAGCATAGGCCTCTGTGGCTCTTCTGGAGTTATTTCACAGAGATTTTCTTCACTTCTCCAAAACCTCAAACCAAACACCAGGAACTTCAGCATCTGCTCACAAAATCTTACATCCTCTTTCAGCCAAACCTTGATCCTTTTTTCTCCTGTCTCCCTGTTGTGCTAGGACCTCTTTGAAGTTGCCTTGCTCTCTGGTGCTCCTCAAAGATGGAGCAGGGAGCTTCTCTGCAGTGAAATTTGGAGTCGGGTAGTTCTGCGGCCAGAGAACTGGAGCAGCAGCCCAGCTCCTGGCCAGGAAGTGGGGAAGGGAGAACTGAGGGCCAGTGAGCCGGGCTGCCCGAAGAACAATGTGCTAATAGAGAGCAGGGGAAATGAGTCACTGGGGCCGGCTCTAAGCTTCCCCCCATCCTGGCACACGGAAAGCGTGGGAAGAAAATTAGGAGCCAGGCCACCTGGAGAGCGCAGTGAAAAAATCCATCCCCGAAAATAAACTCGGATAACTTTATATCCATAAGCATTCCCACCTACGAACCACAGTTCTGTGTGTTTACACAAGGCCTTTGAAATGGGAAAAGGAGATACATCCCAGGGTCAGAGGAGTTTAGGAGCTCAGGAACATGCTAACACTTGATATTATACTGTAGACAGAAGATAATTTCTACTTTCGATATAGCACATTTCCCCAAAAAGAGTTAAAATCTAGAAAGGTCATTAAGCGGTTATCTGTCTTTATCCTGACTTTCCATTTGACACTGACATCGGTATTATTTTGCTTCCGGTTCTTTCTAACTCCTTGTATGCTTATAAGTATTAAATGTCAACAGTGAATTTACTGTGGCTTCAAGACTTTGGGATGTATTTTACATGGCAAAAGCTTTAAAAAGAAAAATATGGATTCTTGTAGCTTTCCTCCTTATTAACTGATTTACATGAACAGGAAGAAGAGGCAAAGATCCTATAGCTGTGATGAAAAAACAATGTCATTTCATATTTTCATGTGCTCACAGATTTACTTTCTTAACAGATTCATAAAAAGTCTTTAGCTGCTTTCTCCATTGTCAGAAAATTCATAAGCATTTTATTTTCTTTTAAAGGTCATATACTGCACACTTAGCACCTAATCCTCCATAAGGGATACACTGTTTTGTAAGTTTGAAGATGAAGTATTAGAGTCTTTGAGCATCAACACCTGCACGTATTCTTTCGCAAATTTGCATGCATGGTGGTTTTTCAGATAGGATTTATTAGTACACTAGTACTTGGTATGTATGTATGTATACGTGGGCATCTGCAGGTAAAAATACCTATTTATCTTCAATGAATTATTCTACTTTCAAATCAGCATACACAACAATACACACTCCCATGACGGAATGCGTGCACTTTACGAGGCAATCAACCTCTCTGGGACATTTTTGCTGTATTAATAAGCAATTATTTTGCCACTCGTTCTCTTTGGGAATGAGTGTATGCTTCTGCAGGCATTACCACTGCAATCTCCAAAACCATTCCGTTACAAGTAGGAAACGGATAATACTGTTGAGTGCAGCACTGTGGTAACTTGTCGTGGGTTGAGCCTGGTTGAACTTTAATTACAGGAGGGTAATTTGAGGGTAAGCAGCCTGCTGATGGCTGCAGAGCTGCCAAAGCGTGAGGAACCCCCCCGGGGGGCAGCCTGCGAGTACCACCAGCAGAGACAAGATGCTGTGGGAATCCTAGGAGGACAAGGGAGTATTTTCTCATCAGCCCTATAACTAAGGGGTCCAGGGTTGCTCAGGGGGAGACCCCGGCTTCCTCCTGCTCCGCGCTGTCCCTCCCGCCGCGGCCGGGAAGAGACACATTAAGCAGATCCGTGACTAAAAGCCTCTTTGGTATCTCAGGCCATGCAGTCTCCACACTGACAACGAGGACACAAACTGCGACAGGCACACAGCAAATATTTACTAAATGCTAAATCTGTCAGATTGATACAGACACAGAATAAATGAATTTGATGCACATAAAAACACTCAATCATGATTTCAGCAGCTACTAATCTGTACATTGGCAAATTACTCTAAATTAGTTGGCCTCCTGAATAGACATTGAGAGCTAAGCATTCTTAGTATAAAATTTTATTTTGATCCATAAATCCTGTTCCCCCAAAAAACTATACCTAAATTAATCATATTCTTGCCTACATTCTTTCTGAATGATAGAGATTTTCATCTATGTCTACAGGAGAAACTTCTGGACACAGGAATGTGCATTTCAAAATCAGAGAGGATTCAATTATTTCCATGTCACGGAGGTATAACCAGAGATACAACCACCTTCCTGTTCACACTGCTTGCACAACCAACACTGGCCAACGACAAGTGCTGCACTCAAAGCATGATTTAAAAATCCATTAAGTCAAACCAATGAAAAATCCGTGCAAATGCTCAAAACAGTGTAATTGTTTTTAGTTAGTGGAAGTGACATATACTCTTACAGGGCTACGCTCAAGTGCTCTGATGAGGTTTAAATCATAAAAATTATTGCACGCAGCATACATTTAACTAAGCTGTTTTTAAATCAACTTTAGTTAACCAGTGCAACTCATGTTTGTAGACAGGGTTACAATCTTTTAGGCACCTTTCAAAGAGGAAAAATGCAAACACTTTATCTTTAAAATTTTCTATTTCCACATCTCAAAAATAATGACTACCTTTACAGAGGTAATAGAGTTTTCTCATCTAAACATGATGCCAATTGTAGTAAGAAAATTTAAATGCTTCTGGCTTAAGGGAAAACAAAGAAGAAAAGAAATCACAAAAATCACACAGCAGAAGCTTGTAGTATGTTAAACACAGCCAAACTCCCACTGTAAAAAACATGACTGAATGCTAAGTTTACTGTTCACATTGGAGAATTCCTGCAGCATGCCTTAAAATAAATCCCCATTTTAGACAGCACTGAAATTCCTCTTACTTCTTTTGAAGAAAAGCAAAGCTAGTAGCTTATCTATGGGAATCACAGATCAATCACATTTCTCCACAAAAAAAGAGGCTTTACCGCTCATTACACTGTGAAAGATAAGCCTGAATCACCTGAGTTAAAAAGAGAAGCACAAGGATAGATCTGCTTCTCAACAAATTCATATTAAAAGCACTGTGTTCAAAATGAATATGTCTGATTTTGGATATTTTTGTTACATTTATTTTTATAATCATTTTAAATTTATCAGAATAAGATTTTTTTTTCCTTTTAAAACAAACTGAGATACTAAAGGTTTGGAAGCATATACTAACTTCAAACTAAGAACAAGAATTAACCATTTATTTGAATTGTATGCAGTAGTTAAAATAAAGCAGCAATTAAAGTGCATCAACTGTTCAGTCTTATAGGCCAGTCTCTGCTTTTGACAACACTCTTTTATTAACAGCCTATGGTTTTTGTTCCAGAGCTGCAGAAGACAATGATCTCAAACAACATTCTAGTAAGTAAACCAGTTAGTTTGCTTTTAAGGTGCCCTGCAACTCTTATCTCTGCTATACCGAATAATGTAAAGGTGCATAATATTTACACTACTGCAATGAATTATTCTTAAAAGAGTCTGTGATTTTAATAATTTAAGTCTGTGAATTTAAGAACTCAAACTTCAACTACATTTGGGAATTCTGATAATCCAGTCATTTTCAAGAGCTGTGTTTTTCAAGGTAGATATTTTCACGTACATTTAGGTATTTAGCTTCAAACAGGACAGACTATGTCAAGCAAATTACACATGAAAATGAATGTCAAAGAGAATTCACTTTCCGTAATTTGTATTTAGATAACACATGCTTATATTAAAATATTTTTTTCTGGAAAATTATAAGAAATAAAATTATTTTCTCTAAGTTTTGGATATGAGTAGAGACTAGAATACCATAGACCATACCTGGAGTTGCATATCAGCTGCAGCACACACTTTTTTGGACTCACACAGTCTTGACACCATGTTTTTTGGTAGTGGCTTGAATAAAAAACAAACAAAAGAACAAACATATTTAGAATACTTACAAGGTTTGCAAATAGCATGCTTACTACTAAGTCTCAGTGTCATAGTTAAAATGTATTTGACTTTTAAGTGCTTTGCACTGAGGAATTAACAAGGTAGAAGGCAATTTCATCTGCTGCACAAAATATTGAATGTTAAGCTGTTGGCAATAGCTTACATAACAATCCAGATATCATTGCATCTCAGTGTCACTTCTATAGAAAGATTTTCTGCTCCCCTGCATACCCATTAAAACTCTTATGAATGTTTTTTAGAGATAAAGAACAACCAATGGGGCTACCAAAGTTTTCCTAGATCATCCCATCTATTTTCAAAAGCAGATCCTACAGTAAATTTTCCTGATGGTCTTTCAGCATAGGTTAATAAGACTTCCACGGATCTCCATACACCTCCCACTGAGGCCAGCAGGGTTTGTAACTTCGGCTGTGACAGAATCAGACCTTCTGACCTTATCCACATAAAAATGTGGAGACCAACTAAAAAAATATTGACCTTCTGAAATTTCTAACAAAGTTGAATTTATTGCACATTTTCCACATTCCAAATATCCATGCCACCACAGGCCGAAAATGATCAATTCATTAAGCAAACTCCTTTTAACATTCTCTCCAGATCTGTAGAAATACATCCAAAGACTGCTTAATTCCAGATTTTTAAGAATACCTGCATATGACGCTTGACCTTTTATTTCTTGCCAGTGCTTCCTGAAACCTTTCAATAAATGTTTTTCCTTGTAAGCATATTCCTTTTTGCCAGCTGTTTTATTAACCCAGCATATTAAATTTCATTAAAATGACTGGGTTCTTGCTGAAATATTAAAAAAGAAATTGCAGGTTGTTCAATGTAATACAGATGCTTGGTATTACATAGAACTCCAACAGCATACCTACACTTTTATAGTGTGTTGAAATGTTTAAGAAATAATACAAAGTTTACAGATTCTGATGGCAGAGCCATATGTTTAGATTCCATGCAAATGATACAACTTCAAGACATACCATCTCATGTTCACATAATAAAAGACTAACTGCAAAAGTTATATGTAAGTGAGAAAACTGTTATCAAATAACTCTCTGGAATCTGGAAGCTGAAGCAGAGATAAGAAAAAACTCTCACCTTGCACAGCTGCTTTATGTAGTAACTTGCCAAGTTTGTTACCTCGTTTCCAAGATAAAGGTCAGCTGAGAATAGGAGAGAACAACACCCACCATTTTGCCTGTCACAGATGTGCACAGTTGTTAAGTTTCACCAAAAACTGAACCAGTGAACATACAGTCTGGCCTACAGTGTGTTCTTGTCATGTCAGTACTTATCCTTCCCAAAAACAAAAATTCTGTGTCAAGTTACATGATGATTTGGGACCACTAGCGTAGAGTAAATGGGTAATTATTCACTGGAATACAGATGTTACCACTTGACTACTTTGAGGTTCCATACTGGATTTACTAGTATTTAAAACAGTGGTTAATTATGAAGAAAGGTTGTTAAGGCAAGCAGTAAGACAGCAAGATTTGCAAATGTTAAAAAGTATTTTGCTGGGCATCTCTTTTACTGGTTCTATGAACATGTTGTGTCTTATCCCCTTACATATGCCATAGGAAACACGTAATTCAATGACTTTTCGTTTCATCCTGGAAATAAAGAGCATGTTGGTTTGCCATAACACAGTTTTAGTTGTCATGGGAAAACCCCTTTTTTGTGCAACAAAACCTATAAAATTTTGAACATATTTTGTTGTAAGCACCAAACCTATCAGAAAACATTGACGCTTAAGTTTTCATTACCCAGCAAAGTGGTGCCTTCTGGCTTTGTATTTTGGATACTGGATGGGAATTTTTAAATTGTAACTTTTCACGGTTAAAAATACTGAACATCCAACACCTTGGCAACAGCAAATGTGTTTTATGCAGACAAGAGCATTTCCATCACTAAGGTCAAACCAGTTCTTTCAGCATAATGACCCTGCAATTTTATAGTTCAGCTATATTAAGGAACAGCAAGAGGAGTTAAGTGCACAGGCTTTTAATTGGTACAACAAATAAACAGAACAAAAACCAGTCGAGTCTTTGCTAATGAGCATTTTGGTAGATGACAGCACCACAGATCCTCTCCGAGCTGGGAAACCCAAGTGCCCAGGTCCTGGGCATGCAGAGCAGAAAGACTCTGCGATGGGGACGGACTCTGCACAGCCACCCAAGGGCGTCCATCCCACGCAGCTCAAGGAGCTCCCAAAGCAGGTCTAAGGCTCAGTCTGGAGCAAACCATTCCCTACAGACCCTCCTCTCAAGAGAACGTTTTTACTGAGCCTTCTTTTGCCTGTGCTGCACGTAGTTGGGGAAGAGGACTGGAAAAGCAGCCCCGGCATTCAACCATCTCCTCACCTTCTGCTATTAGTGTTTATCATATTCTAAACTGAATTCCTAAGGGGAAACCAGAAATGATCATTAACTATGCTGCTATATTAACAAAAGAGAATGTCCACAGATGCCCAGTTCTCTTTGCACAGGAGATAGCCTAGCATCACTTTCTAGAGACCAATTAAAATGTAGATAATACCAAAAGCCATGAAGAAAATTCGTATCTTTTTTGTAGTCCTATGAATACCGAACAAGTAACACAGACCTACTCTGCCCATACTCTCCACACGAGGTGTGGCGGCAGAAAAAGCCACTCACAGCAGAGAACACGCTCATTAATGACACAACCTCCTCACATAAATGCCAAGTCAAAGGTGGCAACAGCAAATTGCTACTGCTTTAATCCCTGTACTCACAGATTAGTTGCACAGATTAGTCCCTGTACTGCACCAGGTTAGCTGTAGTTGTCTTGAAGATCAAACCCTATTGTTTGAGCAGATAAAAACCAACAGGAAATTACTCCTATGACAATATCTATCGGCAAAGAAAAGCACAGGAGAACGATATAAATGTTGCATTTGTATAAATCAAACAGGGTTAATGATTTGGATCACAAATCATGCTGTGATCTCAATTTACAAACCAGAATTTGACACCAGAGAAACAACGCCAAATATTAGTTTCAGATGAAAGAATGACGAAGAGGAGATCACTTCCCAGAGAACTTTCAGAATTTTAAAACTGAAGACTTCAGGGAACAAAAAATAAGACTGTGGAGGGTCTTTTCAAAGACTGACACTCAACAAAGTTTGTATCTGTATGCCTGACACAGAGACAAACTAAGGTCTTGAATGTACTGTGGAAGGGGTAATCTTTCAGGGAACAGAGACCATTTCTTGAACCTGTTAGTATCTAATGTAGATTCTTAATAAGCAGCCTAATGGAGGAAAAAACGCAGTTTTTTTTTTTTTTAATCCTGAAGGATGAATTATCTGATAAAACCAGAATCAAACCGTCATCTTCTTTCCTATAGAAAGACTTTATAATGCTTTTGCTAAAATGACTTTAATTGAATAACCATTCCATTTTGTTAAATTTAAATACTGCATTCTTTAGTTTGGATTCTTCTTTTCCCTCCTTTCATGTTAAGTAACTCTAAGATCTTGGCGTGAATATTTCAGCATGTTTGCCACGGTGGCTAAAAGAACAGAATTCCCTGTGTTCCAGATTCCCAAGGCATGCTTAACTCTTTACGGCTGTGCAGCAATAATGCTGTTCACTATCTGTGGGTTTATTCTTATAATCACGATAATACAATGCTGCCTTTGTAATTCCATCTCTGTGAAAAATGAAGTAAGTTCAAATTTGAACAGCTGAATTACTGGCCTTTGTTCAAGGGAGCCTTCAAAAGACACTCCAGCTTAAAATGACTTAACTCACCAGATCTCCCACATACCCAAGCATTTTAACAAACAGAACTAAGCAAACAAACACTGTGCTGGAACGGCTCACATCCACCACACTGTCTGCTTAACATTGTTACAAGCTCATTTTGGTATGTCTCGACTTCATGAGCTTACCTGAGCAATTTAACTTGAGTAACTAATTAACACAGTCCTCTCTGATTCTTTTTAGCTCATGGATTTTCTGTTTTGGGTTATGATGAAATGAAAAAACAGGCTTGCTCCTTTCTTGGAACAAAATCCTCTTTTGCTGACTAGCTTTCTGAATTAAATTTACCAGACCTGTTCCTTTGGGCAGATGACCTTGAAAGCTCTTGAATTCCTCAGTACTCACAGCAGAACAGAAAGCAGGGATAGACGTTCTATCAGCTTCAACATTTTTGATTCAGACCCTTATCATCCACACCTATATGCATAATACATTCCCATCCTGGAAAACCTGCCCATAGCATCTTCTTCTTTTCTTCCCTGCAATGTTGCTCCAAGTTTTTAACAGTTCATATGTTTCAGCAAACACAAACATCACCCCTTTCCCCGTCCTCTTCCCATAAACAAAAGCGAGGGCTGTGGCTCAGGGCCAGTTCTTGTACAATTGACTTTTATGGCATCAGCCATCGGAAACTGAGACTACTCCCCAAAGTTTTACTGACATAATTATGTTTAGTAGGCGTGTTAAAATCACACCACCTAACTTAACACTTCCATGCAAAAACCACAGCAGATGTAATAATGCCAAAAAAATACTTTTTCAAACTACCTGGGCTGCCTCCTCAACAAGAAGTTAGGTCAATAAAAAAGTAACTCTTTCTGTCTACCTCTAGCAAATCTCTGTTAGTATGGTTATTGCAGGAAAGATTCCTCTTGCACAGAAAAACTCAGTGTCTTTATTCATAAGAGGAAACTTAGTAGAAGCTCTCATATGGAATAAAATTTTGATTAAATGTCTTCCAAATTTCACATTTTAACCATTTTTCACCCAGCTTCCTTACTGCTCCTTTAAGAGGACAAAGGAACTTATTTTTCCTTTCAAAAGCGCTAAAAACTGGAGAAGAAAACGTTGTTTACACTTTCTATATGCATACCAAAAAATGATTCAGGGAACAAACTGAAAACATAAGCCCCAAATGGATTTTTGCGAAGTCTTAAAGGTAATTAAGTTGGAATTTACTATTCCAAGTACTTTGCAACCTAAATACCTCTACACACAATGAATGAAAGTAATTGATGTAACAATAAAAATTTCATAAACAGAAAAGAAGGCTTAAATCTACTTGCACTTAGATCGCAGATACAGAAATTCTTAAAACTGGCTTAGATCAATCAACATAAGCAAAAGTGGATTTATACATGCTAGATAATGACTTAAAAATACACTATAAATTCTTAGGGGAAAAAAAAGGGAATTAAAAGGAAACAGTCTAAAACCCTCAAGCGCCACACAGTAGTTTCAGGCTCTCTTCCTAATCTTCCAGCATAATCCATTCTTGTCCCTCTTCAAGATGGAATTTCTACACTAAAGCTCATTCAATAAAAAGCCAAGATTTCACCACCAATAAACAAAAGAAATTTTTTAAAAGTGCCAAATGGGACACAGTGCCTGGTTCTTAGGTTTTGCACTGTAACAAAACATAGTTTAGATTTGTTAAGCCACTTTGAAGACACAAAGCCATAAATAATGTTGCACAAATCTTTTTCAGATGTTTTACTCAAGCTCGTTCTTTGAATTCATATGCAAGCAGTTTAAACTAACGTTTAAACACTGTATGAACTTTATAGAAAATACAGAAAGTATTTTAATGCACAGGTTCAAAATTAGAAATGATGAACACTCCCGAACTGAGTATTTGTAACTCCCAGTTTTCCAGCAGACTTTCCTACTGCTCTGCAAGATTGATTGCTCTGCAAGAAAGCAGCTCTATAGGGCAAATTTCTCCAATAACATCTATAAAAGTAGAAGTTATGCAAATGATTTTTCTAACTAACTGGACAGTTACAGCAGAGACAAACATAATTCCACTTTCATAGTATTAAAATATGATGAATGTTTAGTACTGGATAAAAGGCTTACAGGAAGTGTAAGATTATGCATTTTAAAGAACTTTCTCGTTTAAAGAAAGAGCTTTCTTGTTCTCACATTGATCTGCAGTCTGTTCTTCAGTCACTGCAAGATCTGAGCACTTTGAAATGTGCCTCTTTTTTTTTAAACATTGCAGATCATTAACAAACATATCATCCATGATTTGGTGCCTATGCTTTGCTTTAGGACATTTTTTGCATAGTTTGACACTGAATTACTATCTTTGTCAGTTTTTGTCTATTTAGTTAAACATTTCACATGACATAATTTACAGAACAGTTGTTCACCTACTGGACTAAATTTTGGTTGACAAAGAAAGAAATGTTGAAACTCAGAACTTCATATTTTAAGGAGCAGATATTCTTTTACAGATTATGTTTATCTTTTCTGCAATGACAGTAGTAACATTTTTTCTGAATAATTAAAATTACGTATATCCCTAACTTCAAGCATTACCAACAATTAACACATGAAAATTAGATTTTTTTCTTGAATAACTTTAATACTATTTTCAATACTTTACATCTTAATACTCCTTACCTGACCAGTTTTATAATGCCTTGCAAACTGGTTAACTACTCGATAGTCATTTGCAAAGTACTCCATTAGAATTGAGGGAACTTCAGCAAAATCAGTTGGACATCTGGTTCCTAAAGGTAGGATAATTGAACATATTAACATATAGTCATATTTCCATTAAGAGAAATAGTTAACTCTTCCCAAAGGGTTTTGCAACTTTCAGTTTGGACTTTTGGTGAACTGTAATGTTCTTTCATTTATTAAGTCAATATTTTATTTCCATAGCATTATTGTACATATTGCCAGAAAAGCTTCATTATAATCCTACACATTTTATTATAAATCACAAAGTAAAACAAAGTATTTGAACAGCTGGGTGAAGCACCTTATAAAGCTCCGGATCACACCCTTTTTTAAACTAAACCAGACTGTGGCCAAACTGGCCCTACATGAAACACCAAATCTCTTTAGCTGTCCTAAATCTAAATCAAACTGCAATGTAAATAAAACTCTGCCTTAATGCCATTCACAATAACCATTTTTACCTTCCATCTGTTTGCAGAGCTTACTTATGCTTCATATTAACATCACTTTACAATACAAAGTCAGTCATCCAAAGAAAACTCCTGCAGACTCAAGAGAAGTTCTAAGTGCAATGAAGTAGCATTTTGCAGACAGTATTTTCAAAAAAGCACCCTCAAAAACCTTTATTCTTTTCTTGACCAGCACTTTCCATGCCTCAGTAACTTTCATTAGGTAACCCATGACCAAATCTAAGCTGCATTTCTAATTTCTATATAAGTTTAAGGATGAACAAAGCTGTCGTTTTAATAACAGAGATCTATTGGATTGTCACCTCTGCTCCTTTCTAGAACTAGACAGGAGACAACATCAACATTTAAAAACTGTTTTAAATGAAATTATGGTTTTTGTTTCTACTATTTGTGAAAATCATTTCTTTGAATTTAAAAATCTTTCTCTTAATTTTTAATCTTATTTCATAATCTATTTGTAATCAATTTTTCAAACCAATGCTATACTGTAGTATTAACACCACCTTCCCAATTATTTATCTCCTAAAATGGGAAAAATCCCTTTCTCTCTCGAACATCATTTCCTAAGGTAAAATAATAGATCAAAAGAAAAGCAAAATAAAGTCCCAAAGCCTGTTTGTTGTCCTGTAGGTCTTCTATGCACCTGCTTCAGGTGGAATTCACCTTGAGCCCAGAAATACAAGTGGTTTCAGCAGCATCTTTCTTAACCATACTAATACTTATTATCTCTAATAAAAATACCTCTGATTCGGTCTCAGATCTTCCCTTCTTTCACAGTCATCAAACATCAGCTATTTATACCTCTGCATTAACACACAAAACTTTTTCTGTTCTTTGTCTGCATCATCTGCATTATGCAATTCTGAGTTGCATTTTTTTTTCTAACACTTCAGTATTCAGCCATCCTATTCTTCTTGTACAACCATGCCTTTACATTTCATTAGTGCATTTTTCTCTTTTGATGGAAAAATGTTAATGAAAACCTAAATCAACGCTGGTCCCAAGAGGCACGCCTGCAGTGCCTCACTGGTACCTCTCTAGCCATGATACTTTCCCAGTTGCCCTTAATAAAGGAGAATAATAAAAAGTAATAAATAAAATACTATATTAATAAAAAAAATCTTTTATCAACCATTAGAAAGACTTCTGAAAACTATCCTGCCTTAAAATCAGAAAGGTAAAAGTTCAGACAGTTACCTGGGATAAGCTATTCCTCCTGTAAAACAAACGTAGCTATCCTCTATTGTACTGTAAATTAAAACAGAAGCCAGGCCAAAAAGAAAAAACAAACCTAAGAATCTTTTTTTCTTTACATAGGAATTCAGTAAGAAAACAATATATTTGTATAATAAAATGAAAGATTAGCAGAAGAAGATGCATATAAATTTCATAAATTTCCTATATCCACTATCATCCTAGTTTTGCCTAGTGTTAGCATAATAGATTCCTGAATATTCCTGCATGGAATCAAAAGAAATGGGGGGAGGGCAGAAGAGCAAGGAGTTTGTCAAACATTCAGTTCCTCACAACTGGAATTTAACATTTTTTGGTCTCACAATAGCCTGTAATCACCTGATTTCCACACTTTGCTATGCTAGTGCCTAAGAAGAGCAGATGGCCGCTAACAGACATGTCTGGGATGAGCCGTTTGATTATCACACATTCCAAACTGTAAAAAAAAAAATGTTCTTTGGAGAAACACACGACTGGCCTCTGATGCTGCTTTTGCAACACTAGATCAGGACTGAAATCCCCTAGGAAGCAAGGCAGCCTGCAGTTAAGGCAATGCTGAAACCATACATAAGGGCTCCTGGAATGTCTGAGCCTCAAAATCAGCAATTTCCTCCCCCTTCAAAACCTTCTGGCACGCATACGCATATGATACTCTCACCACACCAGCAGAACCCCCACTAAAGCAGTTACTTTGGGGATATAAGTACCAAGAATGCCCTGGAGATCAAGAGGAGGGAGGCCATATGTGAGAAAGGGCTGGGAGGGAGCAGTTAAATAGCTCAAGGTCTGAGTCCTAACTCAGATCTTGCATTGAAAGAGAATATACAGTGTTTATTTGATTTAAGAATGTCCAGTAGTAACACATATATACAGAAATAGGCTTATTTTAATATTAAGTGGAAGATTTAAGAAATATTCTTTGGTGGGTTTTGTTTTTTGTGTGCAATGTATCTATTGGTAACAAGTGTCTCTAACATGGATCCTCCTTATTACCATCAGTGCAGTACAAAAGGGGCATAACAAAAAGCCGTCCCTCACACAAGGGAGTTATTGTTTCATTTGAGGGTTTTTTTATATAATTTTGTTAATAAATAAGTAAATAAATTCCTTTTCTGATCATTTCATTTTGAGCTCACAACCACATAAGAAGACATGCCATGCTGTCTAAGAAAAGTAGCCTGCAAAGAAGCTTTAAGCTGGACACAGCTCTGACCCATTTGGCACATTAACGCAGAACAAGGCCAGGGCAGCCTGCTCACCAATACATAGATTGCCATTGCTTGAGAATCCCAGAATGGCTGAGGTTGGAAGGGACCTCTAGAGATCACCTAGTCCAACCCCCAGCTCCAGCAGGGACACCCAGAGCATGTGGCACAGGGTGGCATCCAAGCGGCTTTGCAAGATCTCCAGAGAAGGAGACTCCACAGCCTCTCTGGGGCTCTGTCACGCTCGCAGGAAAGAAGTTCTTCTTCTAAGAAGAAGTTCCATGAAGTTCTCCAGTTCCATGGAGATGGAACTTCCTGTGTTGCAAACTGTACCCATTACCCCTTGTCCTGTTACTGGCCATCACTGAGAAGAGTTTGGCCCCATCCTCCCTACATTCTCCCCTCAGGTACTTATACATATTGATCAGATCCTCTCAGTCTTCTCGTCTCCAGGCTGAACAGGCCCAGCTCACTTAGTCTTTACTCATATGATAGATGCTCCAGTCCCCAGAAGAATGATGAAATGAAAAATGACAGGCTTGTTTTTGTGTGCCTCTGCCTAGCTCTGACTGCATATTCGTCCATGTTCACCTGTCTATGACAAGAAGGTCCACCAGTTAATCATACTTGCAGATAAAGTAAATGCCTAATTTATGAGCTTGTTTTAATCAGGATCCGCTAGAAAGGCCTGGTGTTACAGAGCCTGAGTACTGCCCAGGTGCACCCTTTAAGAAAATGAATTTATTAACTTTTCTTAGTTAGATTTTTAAAATCATTTCCAACCCAGGATTCACTGTGGTTTTACGCTGGGTACAAATTTAGCTCAATTTATTTTCAGCCCTTCCATTATTCCATTATTATAAACTGCCATGTACTAAACTTACAAGATAGTATTTAGCATGACTAGATAAAAAGATTAGTTGTACAGAAAGAAGAAATACAAAAGCCAATTTTTTATCAGGGGAGGAAGATAGTCAAATGCTGCTTTTTTGTTTTTTAGGTAGTATTTGGGAATCTGATACTGTAATTTTCCAAGTCAGTAAAGATGTAGAATTATCATCATGACTCTATCATGTCTGGTTAATATTTTTTAAAAATGTCTCCTCCTTTCATAAATTAAAAGTTTAACTAAAACAACAAAGAAAATCAGTATTCTAAGGTCCTTACCAGTGACATGTTGGTACCGGGTTCGGCCCAGCATAGAATGCATAGCGTGTCCCATTTCATGGAAGAGATTCTCCATCATGCCAGGACTGAGCAGTGTTGGTGCATTCCTCGTTGAATGGGGCAGACTAAGCATGAGAACAACTACAGGCAGCTGGTATTCTCCATCTTCCCTCAGCCTGCCTCCTCGAACTGTGAAGTGACAATCCTTTTGAAGGTAGAAAGCAAACAGATGGGTGACCCACATCACTATATGCACAACACTAAAGCAATGGTGACAGTATTAAATCAAACCTAAATAGATACTCAGTTACACAAGTTAATTCAGTTAACAGTAATGTTCAATAGCAAAAGAGAAGCTTGAATTCAAATCTTTATAATTTTTCTTCAACTCTATTACTTGTTTCATATTTGTAAGTAAACTACTTTAATCATAGAATCATAGAATCATTAAAGTTGGAAGGGACCTTTAGAGATCATCTAGTCCAACCTCCCTGCACACACAGGGTCACCTACAGCATGTGGCACAATCCATCACAAAAAGACTGCTTCTTTTAGAAAATTAAGTTTAGAGATTTTTACAAGTATCAAAACTCCATTTTTCTAAAATATAGTTTCTAAAATTCTAGTACCAATAGTTACTAGTAGCAATTTGCAGATATTTCCAGAGAGAAGGGTCTGTTGTATTGCATTATACACTTGATATATTGGCATTAAAGTGAGTGAGTGGGGGAAAGGAGTGAGCAAGAGAGTGAGCATAAACAGTTGGAAACATCTATGGTTTGAGAATAATTTTGAATAAGACCTAGTTTTCACATGGAGTTTTCACCTGAAGCTGGAGGGCATTAAGTATCAAATTGTTTTTACTCCTAGGTGGCAGGCCAGAAAATTAGTTTATAAACTTAACACTTCTCTAAACAAAACTATATGAGATTTCACAGTGTCTACCACTTTGTAATACAAACAGTTTGAGTTCAGCCTACCAGGTGATGCTTTCAAAATGAAGAGTTATTCACAAAAACTATTTACCTAAAATTACATTTGAAGTTACAGTCTTTTCATATCTAAAATTGTTTGAATTATACCCAGACATCTCCTAAACTTATGCTGAATACATACAGCCCTAACACTGCAGTCATTATTCATGTACAACTCTGAAAACAGATCACAGATATTACCTGATGTGGCTTATCAGGTCGTTGAAAGAAGTCACAATAGATGTACCCTAATAGACCTTCATTTTCATGAACAACAGCCTGAAAAAAGGATATTTTTTCCACAGTAAAAGCACTGATTTGTAACTAGGAATGTTATTCAAATTCAAAGATTTATAACACGTATATGACAAATAATCCAGAAATGATTCTAATGTAAAATCTGTTGCTTATTTTAGTTGAAAAAATAAATACACAGGACTCAGATCCTGTCCTTCAAACTGCAGCCATTCCTACATCTCATACAAAACTGACTACTGTCAAAGACTAGTAAAATAAACACTGTCCATAGTCCCTAAATAACTTCTCAAAAGTCAAGAGTGACAACAGTTAATTTACCATAGAATTAAAAAATAAGAAAAGTAAGCAGTAGCTATGTATTGGCCCGTAGGACATAAAGAATAGTAGCTTTCACTGGAGACAATGGTGGAGAATACAAAGAGGGAAGACAAGAGATGAATATGGGAACTGATGAGTAAATAATTGCCTTTTTCTTTTTCTACCCTCCCCTAAAAAGAGGGCAGAAAATAAAGAAGCAAAAAATAATCAGTGGTAAAGATGGCACAGAATAGCAAAGAAAGAAAAGATAGATCACAGTTAAGACACATACCTATAATATTCCAGTCATCTATAGCCATTACAAGTTAGAACTAAAAGGGCTGATTCAGAAAACCCAGGTGAAAAGCACAACAATAATCTCTCAAAATAAACTGATCCCGATTTACACATCCTTTAAACAGAGCCATATTTTAAATGCCATTAAATGCCAAACATATAAAGGGACTTTAAGAGTATGAAGCCCTTGAGGCCTCACTTCAACTAAAATGAGACAACTAGTGTGCATTTTGAAATCCCAGGCATAGGTGCTCAAATAATTTAAAAGCAAAATCCGACTCACAGCTCTTAGAGGGGGCAAACAATCGTGCCCAGCCTTCCCTTTGCCACTTCTGACGCCGGGAGCAGGAACACTTACCAGCTTGCGAACATCTTCAGACCAAACCTCTCCTGCCCGGGTTTGCTCGGCATAAAGGGAGATTCCGAGGAGCCGACTGAACAAGGCGTTCAAACCTTCCATGCACGCCCCAAGGGAGAAGAAGGGACAATACAAACCAGGATCAATGTTATACCTAAGAAAATAAAAGAATCCCAAACCAGTCAGTTTAGCTATGTATAGGCACAAATTACATCTCTATGGACTGTTTGTATTCACCACTACCAAGTGGTAAGATGTGGCGAAAAAGCCCTGAAGATCCTCTCAAGGCCTTATTGAGGCCTTTGTTTTTCAAATAGCGAAACTAATTTGTAGTCCAGGTATGGCCCTGCACCAAATAACAGTTACTTTTTTATTTTTAGATGCCAAATTCAGAAGATGGTGACTAATTTTCAGAGAACATGGAGAATGTAGAGCGCGCAGCTCAACCCAGCAGCACTGTGGGTGGCCAAGCTGTAGCTGCTGACCCACAGGAGGCCACTGACCCTCAACTGCCCGTTACATGGCTATGCCACATGACTGAAATAAAAACACGTGTCTGCTTTGGCTGCTTTGTAAATCAAGTCCCAAGTTAGGGGAGGCAACCAGCCCCTGGTAGCTGCTGACCTTGCAGTCTTGTCTTTCACTGGGGCAATAGGACTACCGGGGAGACACTATCACCTCACGGATCATGCCTCAAGCTCCTGGGACTTTCTGAACCACATACACAGTATCCTGGCTTTAAGCCAGGCTAAGATTTTAGTATGTGACTCATAGTTCAAAGGTGACCAAGCTTCTGAGCATAACATGAAACAGTGAAATGTTTTCAAGCCAGCATAGCACAGATAATGCATATCAGGAGGAGGACATCACATACTTACATGCACACACAAGAAATGAGTTTAAAAAAAAAAAAAGGCAATTACAAAAGTAATTCAGGCATGTATGCGGCCTCTACTCAGGCTTAAGCTTCCTGAGACTGTCCTGAAAAATTAAACATGACAAGAGTGCCAAACAGATAAATGCTGGGGAAAGTCTGTGCATACCCAAGCTGGCCATGGCTTTGCAATTCTGTGGCAACTGGCAAAACCCGAAGCACAATCTGCTTGTACTTTGTGCATGTACCCCAAATGACAAAAATGATCTTGCTCTCTTAGTTCCCATACAAACTTTGAAAAGGAGTGTTAGGTTTTGTGGGGGTTCAGCATAAAACTCTTCTCCTAATTGTCGGAGATGACAGCCCCTGCTATTTTCCCTTCCTCCTTCATACTCTCGTGCTTTGCTTTTTAATGGCAGAGTAACTACTCACTGACATTTAAACACGCATGAGCTAAACTACAACGGCTGAACATCAAACACTAGAACCTCACTATTTTAAGGCCTGTGATCAAAAGGCTTCGAGACAAGTTGTGAAAGAGCCAGCAAGTCCCTCGACACTTTCTCTCCCATCCTTCCTGCCTTTCCACCCCCGTGCACAAAAGGAAAGGCCCCCAAACTAAGTCGACTTGGAATTCTGCATTTTGGCAATACACTGCTTACAAACGCAGTTACAATTCACCACACAACTTCACTAAACTGTGATGCACAGCAGGGTAGGATTAGTTCCCTAAGCCACTGCACCTGTTCTTGAACATTTCATTGTGTTTTGCTTTATTTTTCTATTACCCTTCATCCCATTTCCAGTGTATGCACTGCCAGCCTCCTGCAACTGCTATGTCAACGTTGGTTGAAAACTGCAGGTATGTTCAGCTCCAGCATCTTGCATATTTTCACACCACAGATGCAAGAAGCCAGAGATTGATTAAATGAATTCTATTTTTCATTTTATCTGAACACAAAAAACAAACCACTCTCTGACTCTACCATACTGACATTACTAGCAATATTTCTTCAAGATGAGTTGCGACGCTCGAATTTGTACTCTGCACACTGCAATAAAACTTATTTTCTTCCTTACCCAACCAGAAGAACAAAACTAAACATGCTAAAAGTCATTTTAAACTATATTACATAAAAAGACTGCGAACAAAACTCTTAAAGAAAGCAGAATACAAGAGTTAATTTTCCTGTAATAAGCCATAGAAATTTTGAGTACAAAGGATACTGGTGTCTCTCTACATGCACAGCCCCCTAGAAGTACAAAATTACAGAGTATGTGCTGAATATCCTGAGATGTTTAAGTCAGGAATTCCCAAGCACTGCAGCTCCTCCAGCAGCAGCATTGTCGCAAATTGTAGCAAATGAATCTCAGTATTTACAGCCAAACCCTCTCCAGAAAGTTTCTATGAAAATATAAAAACACCTCTAAGTGCCTCACTCCTCCTGCTTATCAAACTGACTGCAGTCTCCCTGCTTTCCTGCTTACAGACTGTAAGGTCTGTTAAAATTATTCTCTCAATAAAATAAGAAAATCCCATCTTCCAGTGACAAGTCATTGTAAGAACCTCCATAATAGTTCATGACTGATTTTTCCACATAATTTTAAAATCTTAAACTACTATCTCACATGCTACTATGAATATTAGGCCAAGTCTCCCATTTATAATTTGAATAATTGCTTCTTTAACTAAAGATTGACCATAAATTAAAAACTCACTATAGAAGTACTAGCTGAACAAAAGATTACAGTATGCACACACCTCCAAGGTGCTTATCCTTGCATAAAAAAAGACACAGTATTTATTTCAAATTAAATTATGGCAAAAATTATATGATAATACGGTACTGAGCTGAATCTCCACAGAGCCATTTCAGATGGCAAGGATTTGTTTGCCCTGCTCTGTTTCAGCCCTGTTGGTCCCTGCTGGTTCCTGTGCAGCGACTCAGTTCTGCTCTACGAGCTCTGGGGTGCAGCCCAAGGCCAGGCCCGGCTCTGCATTTGCATCATACAACACGTGCAAGCTCAAGCCCCATCCAGACCCAGGAAAGCAACACGGATGTACTCGAGGGGTTCCATGGGGAGCAGATCTGCCTCCTCAAGGGCTCTTTGTAGAGACTGGTTTAATCAACCCAGATGGAACTGGACCGATGCCGTGCAAAGCCCATCTGGCGTCTTCAGATCCCCCTCCCGCAAACAACCCCTATCACCAAGGGTTTCCACCACGTAAAATATTCCAGCCTCCTCTCTCCTGCCACTTCCTCCCTGTGGGCTGGGGGAAGAGAGCTGCTGTATTAGATATGGTGAGAAATATGCCATCTGGCACCCTCCTACAAACACGCACTTGAGCAGGGCAAACCACAGCTCTGCCGGCAGCTCGCAGGCACAGCAGACCTCCCATTTCCACAGCTCCAGGAAATTAAAACGTGTAACTCCTACCAGCGATTTCAGCTGCCAGAGCGGGAAAATACGGCATGAATATGGTAAGAAAATCAAGAACAGCACCCTTGGAAAGAATGCATGAAATTAAGCAGGAACCAAGAAAAACTCGAGAGAGAATGGCAATATCATGAGAGACTAGACTGCTCCGAATTTTCTGAGAGGTGACACGGAGCCAGGACCAAGACCGCATAACTGCGACGTGAGATATTTCAGCTATATCAGAGGAGAACAGTGCGTTCCATCCTAACTGCAAAGGATTCCCACATGCAACTGAAATATTGCATTAACATATTTGCCAGCGGAGGGAAGAAGAGACTCAGACTACTTTATGTTTCACCTTATTTCTGTTAAAGCAATTCTAGGTAATACACAACAGCAGATACATGCCAGCAGGAGACATTTCTTCTAGAGGCATTTCTTCATGGGAAAGAACAGCTGGAATATTATAGAGAGATAAATAAATGCCACTATTTTGCATTTCCAGCACTTCTGAAGGCGTGAATTGTCCCAGTGAACTTACCCATTTACAAAGAGGGTGAGGAAAAGGCTTTGCTGTCAGTACTTTGTAATAAACTCTAGCTCTCCAATTTGGGAGAAAAATCAGTCTGTCATAGTTCTGTCTTTTGGAAAAACAGAATCCTTATCCACCCATACATGAAAATAGCTGTAACAGATGGAAATAACTGTAACAGAAGAGTCTACACTGGTCTGAAGCAGACTCCCTAGGAGAAAGAGCCCCTGCTACAGCTCATGTTTTAGATGTCACAATCTATCATTTAGAGTATAAAGAGGTCTTGGTTAAAAAAAACTCCTTAATACCAACACAGAATTAATGTCAGTCACGTCTGGTAGAACAAACTTCTTGCATATCTAATGAAAGATTCATGTTAATAACCCTCTTGCCACCAAAACTGCCAAAGCTTCTGAGAAACAACATTTTAGGTAGAGAACACATACACAACAATTTCAGATCCTGGTCTCACTTATTTCTGTACGAATCAATCAGTAAACAATGATCAAAGATGAGGATGCTGAAAATCCTCAAACAGTATTAGGGACACCAGTCTGATATTTAAATTACTTCTGGACAACCCTGAGAGCAGTCAGCTACCCTGACAGCAGCTGGGCTATCTGGCATCAAAAGCTTTATTTATTTATTTAATTATTTTGCCATTGCAATGTCATAGGAGTCGGGCAAAAGGTGGCTAAGACATTACTGTGCCGTGCATTAAGACAGTAATAATTGCTAAGGTACTTTAAAATGAGTATTGAGTGCTGAAACAAATCTACTGTGCTAGGAACTGGATCTCTTCAAAAATCTGCCTTCGACACCCACCTGTATCAACCATTAACCCTTTTAGACACCAAAACAGAGTTTTAATCCAAAACTTATTCATTCAGTTCTGTTTTATATACGAAATCTCTCTTACTTAATCGAGTAAGATCAGCTATAACTGAAGAAAGCCTTACCCCAAACTTGCATTGATTCCAGGAAAACTTTTGCTTTGAGCTTATTCTGAAATAGAAATTAGCCAAAGCCTCAGCTATCTGCAACTGATATCATATAACCAGAAATTTATTTCCCTGAATAATTATAGCAGCATTAATAGATGATCTTGCCTTTCAGCGGGAAGACCAAGTATTTGACTTACCCTTTTCTGAGCCCCTACCCTCAAAATCGAATGCTGCTGACTATAGAATGAACAACGTAGCACTAAATAATTTTGGAGGACAATGGGAAAAAAGAGAAGAAATTTATTTAAAAGACTTGAATCCTTCCACAAAAGGATATTCAATGAGCAAAACAGACGACCTCACAATCTTCCTCAGACTTCTGC